TGATGTAGACTGTCTTATACCAACAATGAAATCTGGACAAGATGGAGTAATGGTTTGGGGATGCTTTACCAAAGATGTTCTTGGGCCGTTTAATAAGATTAAATGGAAAGTTACAGCCAAGGACTATATTAATGTGCTGAAAGATCATTTAGTACCTTATATAAATTCTCTTGAAAATAAAGAGACTATAATTTTTCAAGAGGATAATGCACCCATTCATACAGCAAGAATAGCGAAAAGTTGGAAAGAAGAGAATAATATTACATGTCTTCCTTGGCCTGCACATGAACCCAATTGAACATCTTTGGGATGAACTGGAAAGAAGGATTCGGTCCCATGACCCCATAAGGAAGAGTTGTGGGAAATACTTCAAACAGAGTGGCACAATATTAATGCTAGCATTTATCAAAATCTTGTAAATAGTATGCCAAATAGAATTGCAGCAGCTATACAAAGCAAAGGAAATCCTACTAAATATTAGAACACTTTAAACATATAGTCTGTATACTTTTTTTTTAGCCATTTTTTAACAAAAAATTATAAAACTTTGTAGTTATGTATTTTAAATTCAGCACCAGATGAATTCAAGAAACTTGCTCAGCATTGCTGTGATACTGATCCTGACAAGCGGCCAGATGACCGACACTTATGCTTGCATTGTATGAAATTTTAAAGAGGTAGAAAAGGATAATTCTAACAACGATATATGGAATGCCATTTATCGTAATGATGCATGGCCTTTATCACGTCTTGAAAAGGAGAATGAATATTCTAGTAAGCTTTTCGAAGTTCAGAAATAGGGTTAAGAGGTCATGAAGACGCACAAAATATTGCAATATTAACATATAATTAGTGAATCAAAACTTTGTTTGTTTATTCGACGTTGATTCCAATTACGATGTTTGCTTATCATATATCCCATAGCTAGTAGTCAATAAATGTCGAATCAATAAAAAATGATGGATTTGTCTATAGAAAACTAGGATTGATACACAATGTAATTTTTTTTGGGGGGTGGTTAACTAGTATCGATTTTAAGCCATAAATTATTCGTAAAGGTAACCACACGCATGTTAATTGCACGGGAAATTGGAAGTTTGTGATTGATTTTACCAGCTAACTTATTTATATACACGTTACGTTGTTCATATCAGACTTATTGTAAAGGTAATGCGAATCGCTTTCTACTGTAGACACAGAATCAGTGTCTTGATGGTTTGTTGAGCTTTTAAAGTGAAAGGTGTTATGTTAATGGTGTTATTAGCTTGGTTTCGTTTGGGAGGTGTGGTGATGAGCTAAGTAGTTTCTGTGAAAATGCGAACAGTATATTTTGATTGTACGCGGATAAGCTTTTTATTGTTATTGTTTAAACCAAAGCAGGAAAAAAGAGAATTAGTGGTTTTGTCAGAGAGCTATTAGAAAAAAAATTCGAGAAGAAATATTTGCTTTAAGAATACCGGAAGCTTACTTATTAAAACACTCGTCTGTTAAAATGAAGCCAAAAATAGGAAAAAGCAAGAAATAAAGAGCTGACGTATGCTGCTTATTATTGTTGCTGCACATATACTGTACCTGTATATTAATATACACATGGGTTTACAGCACAGCTAATAAGATAAATAATTTTGTTTCTAAATTTAGTATTAAATACAGGGTAGGGTATGGAAACTAGTAGGTATCTAGGTTGCTGCTTTTTCTTAATTAATCTTATAAGATTAAGTTTCTGTCTTGTTTAAAATAAAATTTTTATTTCTCCTTTTTAACTTCCATTATAAAAGAGGTTTTGAAAAAAAAAACCGTATATCAGAAGCAAAAATAACAATCTAATATATCTAAGTCACAATATATCGATTGGAAAAATTTTATTCTCATGAAATCTACTAATTACTCATTATTTTATGTCATTCTCTTATACGCTTGTCATAACAACACTAACCAACAAACTACCTAGAGTAAAGCACCATGCCCACAAATTAGCGTCTATACCATTGCCAGCAGAGAATGGGTTTGGTACTTGTATTTCTGTAGGAGTAGCATCATCAGTACTGGAGGTAGCATTACCCGATAAATCTGTATCATTCGAAGCTCCACTAGGTAAAGGGGAGGGGACAGTGGTGGGGGAACCTGAGGGGATAGTGGTGGGGGAAACCGAGGGGACGGTGGAGGCTTTTGTAGTAGCGATTAATGGAGGGAAAGAAAATAGATTGTGAGCAAAATTTTAATGGTAAATGAATAATAATAACATGATGATGACGACGTTGTACCCTTAGTAGTTTTAACTGTCGGTATAAAAGGAGGGTCGCTAGTTGTTGTGAGGGTCGTGGTCGGTTTTACAGTAGGATATGGAAAAAGACCATCTGGGAGAAAAAGAGAAAAAAAAGAAGGAATTTTAAAAAAAGCACATATTTTGGTACCAAGACGAGTAATAGTGTATGTTGTTGGTTCCCATATTCTTTAAAATTTTGTAAAATTTTTTTTGAATGTCTTACCTACTAATTCACTCTTAACGTGCATCTAAGTAAAAAGAAGAGAGCAGACGTACTTATTAATGACCGGGATGCTTATGTTAGAACTCACATCATTCCACAATAAAGAAGTATATATTAAACTTTTTATATATCATATATACTTATTTATTTTGCATTTTTTTACTTACAGCTGCCAGAGCTAGAACAAGAATGAAGCACAGTCCTTTCATGTTGGCTGTTGTTGTTAATAGCGTTTAATTAAAAGTGGTTTGCGCCTATACAAGAAGATAATGGTTGGTTTGTTTGCTGACTTTTTGTTCCTCATGCCTGTATATATATATATATATATATTGTATACACGTGACGCATATGATAATAAAAAAAAAAGTCCATCCATGCATTTTTTTCATATAATACCGCATACTTTTTTTGGTCAGCGAAATACGGAGAAATAACATGTGCCAGGTAAACGCTTTCTTCTGTACAATTCATTTGCCGATGTCAATGCGATAAAACGAAAACTATTTATAACAAACAATGAAGTTATTTCAAATTGAAACGACAATTATGTACAACATACATAGAACGTCTGGGTTATCGAAGAGTATTCTTGTAATATTACATTATGTAGTATCTGATAATTATTATTATGTTATTATTATAATATTTATTATTCACGCTATATTTTTTTGCTTGAATAAGTAATGTGAGTCAAAGACTGTAAACACTCATGGAACATTATTAGCTTTATTGGCTCAGCAAGGCTGTGCTGATATTTATAGATGCTGTTCGGGAATTGATTCCTTTTTGGGAATCTCCGTACTAAATTGTCTAAAAAAGTTTGATTGAAATACTATATATACCAAATCCAAGTTTTTTTTTCATGAATTTCCCGAAATGATTATCGTAATGATATACCAGAAGAGTTTATTGGAGGCCACATTGAAGATCTCTATAACAAAGAAAATTTCGGATTATGAAGATCGGCATAGATTTGTAGGGTTTATGGCGATTGTAAACTCTTACCGTTCACATGATGCACGCATTCTGCGTTGTATTTAGAATCATTTACAACCAGAGAATATATATGGAATTCCTCAGTGGTAATTTCTTACGGCTATTGTCTCATCAAATGTAGGCTAGCTCAGCTGGCGGGTAAAAATTTATGCTAGAGGCTAAACTATAAGGGAAAGAAAGAATGAGTCAGACCAGCAAAGTCTCCTTAAATGTACGTTTCCATTGATAAATGTGAGCTATTATACGTTATCAACACATTATTTTTGTTCGCATCGTTATCACTAAACATGCGCTCGGCTGTTGATAATGTCATTATTACTTGTTAAGGATATTACCTCCAAAAAACATGATTACAAGTAAGAAATATGGGGGGTTCAACCTTTGAAAGCAGAGCAAATCTCGGTTGTCCAACGAAATAAATTTCAACAAGAGAAATTCTGTTACACTCACTGGCCAAAAGTACTTGCCGAAATCTGCTGATCAATAGTAAAACATATGAAAAATCTAATTTTTTTGAA